TCACAGCCTCCAGGCAGGGGCTGGACAGCAGAGTAAGGACGAGGGCCGTGACCTGGCCACGAGACTGTCACTTCCCTTCCTCAGTAATTTCCGAAGGGGAAATAGCACTTTTAATGTCAGCGTGTCACCGGAATCGTGTGCTAAGAGGCCTTGGCGCTCTTTCAGGAAGTGTACGTCGGCAAGGAGACCCTGTGCACCATCGACGGGCTCCACTTCAACAGCACCTACAATGCCAGGGTCAAAGCTTTCAACTCCTCCGGCGTCGGGCCTTACAGCAAGACGGTCGTCCTGCAGACGTCTGACGGTGAGCACCCGGGCTCTTATGGGGGCCCTCCTGCTGGGCACAGCTGCCTTCCCCAGGGGCCAACTGCTGCAGTGGGCCAGCTCCCAAAGAGGAAACAGGACCCCAGCCCCACCCTCATTCCATCCCTTGAGCCTTGGGGGGTGAGGAGAACTATCTGTTGTTTAAGGTGGAGGAGGGAAGGAGTAGAGGGCGGGGGTCATGTGGGATGCACACACTTCTGCTAGCCCTGGCCCTGGCCTGCACCAGGCCCCTGGTCTGCGCCCTCCTCCCTGAAAGTCACAAAGAAACAGTCCAGGGCAGAGGGAGCAGGATTCCCCATGGCTGACTCAGTGGTTCAAATCCTGGTCTCAGTGGCTCGAAAAACATACACTATGCATGAGCGTGCATGCCCCCATCCCAACAAGATGAGGAGGGACTGCGGGGTGGCCATGCCCCTCTGTCGGTGCTCTCCCCTCGCTCTGTCTCTCTCTGCCGAGCAGACGTGCCCTCTGGAGATTAAAAAAAATTCCATTTTGTTGGACCTGGTAAAAGGGACCAAGAGTAGACTAGCTCAAGGAGACCAACCCTCTGCCAGCTCTGAAGGGCTGCCAAGTGACAGGACAGTCCTGGCGAGGACAGCCACACGCTGGTGGTGGGTACACGCTGGCCCCTGGCTTCAAGCCTCTCTTGTGGTGGGAATACATTCCTCAGATGCCCAGCGTAGCTCAGAGCTGGTGGTTTCTACACCTGTCTGCATCCTGCAGGCCTTAGACAAGAGCACATTGATGTTCGGTGCAGTTTTGACCCTCTAGGTGGGTGGAGAGCAAGGACGTCAGTAAAAACCATGCTCCACCGCATGAGCCGGCCCAGGCTGCAGTGCAGTTTCTGGCTCCCCCTGGTTCCGAGGGTGCTAATCGCGTGTGCACTGTCACCAGCTAGTTCCCACCTTCTCCTCGTGCCCTGAGAGACACACACACGGCGGGGCAGTCCCCAGAGGCGGGAAGGAGAATGAGCAGGAACAGACGCAGTGGTGTCAAAGGGCACAGCCAGGATGCCTTTCTGAAAACGGTGTGACCTGCAGAGTCCCTTTCTAGACCATGGCCCTTGCCTTGTGTGCTGGGACCATAATTTTAGAGTAAGGGCCTCAGTTCCCACCCTCTGAGGCTCAGAGCAGAGAAGGGGTGCCCAAGGTGGGCCGCAGTCAGAGCACTGGGCTTCGTGGCCTTGGCCACGTCAGCCTCCCTCCTGCCTCTCCATCTCCCACCCCGGAGGCTGCTGAGCTCCACTCCCTCCTGCCTTGATCTCCCACCCCGGAGGCTGCTGAGCTCCACTCCCTCCTTAACTCCAGCAATGCAGGCAGCGTCTGGAGCTGAGACTCCAGGGACTGCCTCTAGACTTGGGGCTTCGGGCTGTGTCCCTTGACAAGACTGAGTTCATAGGACTGGGGACTTAGACGGCCGCGGAGCAGGCAGTGTGCAGCGTGTGTGCGTGGTGTACGTGTGCACGTGATGTGCGTGATCGGCGTAAAGGGAAGACAACTCAATGCTGGACGAAAGTGAGTGAGTCTGTGTCTCTGAGTCCCTTAGAGACCTTCGGCTATTCTGTCCCCTGCCCCTCCTCCTGCCACCTCCCTCCTTTCCAGTGGCCTGGTTCACCTTTGACCCCAACTCTGGGCACCGGGACATCATCTTATCCAACGACAACCAGACAGCCACCTGCAGCAGCTACGACGACCGGGTGGTGCTGGGCACGGCCGCTTTCTCCAGGGGCGTGCACTACTGGGAGCTGCACGTGGACCGCTACGACAACCACCCCGACCCTGCCTTCGGCGTGGCCAGGGCCAGCGTGGTCAAGGACATGATGCTGGGCAAGGATGACAAGGCCTGGGCCATGTACGTGGACAGCAACCGCAGCTGGTTCATGCACTGCAACTCCCACACCAACAGGTGCGCCACGCTGCTGCTCGCAGGGCGGGGTGAGGGCCGCACCCAGGGTCCCTGCTATCCCCAGGGCCAGTGTCACAATGTGGGAAGTGCTGCCAGCCACTTTGGTCTCCAGTTTCCAGATGGCTTTGACTCTGACCAGGTAGCAGCAACTGCTGCAGCCCGAGTGACAGGAAGCGATAGCACCAGCCGGCTCCCGAGTTGCCCCGCGAGCCGAGGGTGGGAGTTGGACCAGGCTGTGTAGCCCAGAGTCCTCTCTCTGGCTCTGTGCCATCTCTGTACAACCACCGCCCCTAGGTTGGCAGAGTGGTAACAGCCACCGGGGCAGGTGCCATGCAGCCGTGCCAGGTCTGCACGGGGGGCAGATGTCATCATCTTGGCTGGTCCTGCACCGGGTGACCCTACCATTGTGGGTCCCACATGGCTTGAGTCCAAGCAGTGCCCTCAGAGGGACAGGCCTTGGGGGAGCGCATTTCTGGGGTACTCAGGGTTAACGAGTCTGCCAAGGAAGCCCACAGGGCTGTGCGCTCACCCTTCACTCTGAGGCTGGCCCTGGCCTGCCCTGGAGCAGTTACCAGGGTGGACACAGGAGACCCAGATCCTAGGGGCCCTGCCAGGGCCTCCTGGGGGCAAGAGCACAGAGGAGGGAGCGGATGGTGGGCTGTGAGGGTACACTCCACCCCCACCCCTGTTCTGTGTGTGCTGCCCCTGGTGCCTTAGGAAGGGGAGCAGGAGAAGGCAGGGAGACACATCCGCTCCTGCTCGCACTCCTTCCCCCCCCCCCCCCCCGGG